GTTAGTAACCACTTAAGAATACAGCTGTGTAAATCACCGACACTGACTACCAAAATGATTATAAAACGTACGTCTATAATATTTGTCAATGACAAGTATATATATATATATATATATATATATATATACCTATGTTAAGGTGAATATTGACATTCACTGCTGTTTTTGGTGAATGTCAACATTTTGAATGAATATTAAAAATTTACCCACAGTCGCCGGTGAATGTCAACATTCACACCAATTATAATTTATAGGTGAGTGTTGACATTCAAAATTGAGTTTTGATGAATGTTAAAAATGTTTAGTTAAAGTTGGAGTATAGACGTTCAACGATTGGTGTGTGGTGTATCGTGTCATAGGTACGTAAAGATTGTGAATGTTTATAGATAGGTATTAATTAATGAATTGCAAACAAAAAATAAAAATATAACTTATGAATCAGTTACATTACATTTTTGAGTTTATGTGTTCAATGTCAAAAGAAACAAAAAGTCCCGAGGAAAGGGATAGTCGTAAAGCCCATTATAAGTCGTGAACTCAACTCTCTATGTTAAGTTGATTTAGTCGATATGCAAACGTGTAAAGATGGTGAGTACAAATTTACTCTCAATTATCAAGACCATCTCACTAAATGTATACAGCTTAGATATCCAATATAATAACATTGAGCAGGTGGAACATAATGTTGATCAAAGTGAACTAGATCATAAATTAAAAAAAAAAAAAACATGATTCAAAATAGAAGAGCAGCAAGAATAGGATTTGAATTACAATCTGAAAGAATGCTACGTTCATCAAGACAAAAGTTTACTCCAGCCAGGTTTGGTGATACTGTTCATATCCGAGTCCCTGATGTTGACCGAGGGCATATGGATCCACAGAACATATTGGCAGTTATCATAGCTGTCGATAATGAATTTTACATACTAGGCACAAAAGAGGRTGTAATAAATCAATTATACACCCGTAATCAATTTGCCGTACCTATGTAAAGAACAACTATTATCTCCTGAAGTAGTTGCTACTGACAAATCCGTGTCCTTAAGAAAATCTTTCACTTCAATTTCTCAAAGAGGTGGACAGGGGTACTTGAGATACAATAATTGTAAGGCAAAGTGTGTATCAAAGAAGTGTTGTTGTAGATTCTCAGGTATTTTATGTAATTCAAAATGTCATTATAGCTTAGATTGTTTCAACAAATAATTTTTATAAAAAAATAAAATAATTTATGGTTAATTATTTACCCTTTGAGTGCCGAATTAATTCGTAAAAATACTATTCATCAGTGAATGTCTACACCTAAGAARAAATTGACATTCACCAAATGCCGATACTCACCTTAACAGATAACATATATAAATTATGGTGTTGCTCAAATAATCATAGACGACCAACTAGGTACCTACTTATAATATTCAGTATTCTTAAACCTTCTGATAATATAAAGTCCTATTTTCCTTCTATCAATATTCAATCATCACTTAATATTATTTATTCAGGCTATGCTTATTTAAATACAACTTCATATCATCTATTCCATCTATGGTACTCAGGAATGTTATGGTACTTAGAAACCTAGGTGGCAAATTATCAGGAACTGAAACTTTAAATATAAGTTACAAACACTTTAAAAAATAAACTTTACTTTAATAAACAAAAACAACATAATAATGTTAAACTTTACAATATCAAATCTTTTTGTTCATATTATATAAGTAAAAAATTAAGCATTTTAGTTAAAAAAATTAATCATCTACTAGCAATATAAATTAGTTCCATATAGTAGGTATCTAAATATTATAAACAATAGGTACATAGTATATGAATAAATTAAGTAGAATTTATTTTGTAATACAAAAGATTAAATCATAACTCATAAATATTGCATTWAWATACTTCAAGGCTGATTCAACAATTTATTTTTATTGGACTTCTAAAAGCAGTACTTAATGATTTAATTTTAAATTGTAACAACATCTTTTGAGATTGCTTACTAAAAGTGGTTTATYATTTTTAATTCCAAAAATACACTTTGTAAATACTAATAGAAAATAATATTTTGATAGTCTTAGTTAAGAAACGAGTCATCATATTTTGGACTTAAGTTATTAATAGCAATAATAATATATTTGTTATTTATTAATCAGTATCATAGACAATATACATAAGAGCGATTAAAAAAAAGCTAAATATAAAAAATGGCTACCTTCAAWATTATTATATGTGGCGGTTAAAATTCAATAGGCAACATTTTTTACTAGTGATTTATTTTTATTAATAGATGGCCTGCTTTATTTGTTTCAATAGTGTCTCAATACTCTCAATATTTAAATCACATATAAATAATAAATATCATTTATATCAATATTATACTAAAACTGTAAATTAAAACTCATAATTTACAATAGTAATTAGGAAAGATTAAAATGTAGATGTATTTGTATATATTTAATAAAAAACTATGGAAATTATTTCAGATTTATTATCATAAAATAAATGTTTGCACAAAATTAGTTATCTTATGATTTCACACATTATTATTTATTTTAGCTATACAATTTATTAATGATTTATTGATGGTTTATTGCTTAATAAAAAATTGAAAACTTTTTGGCTTATAGTTAATACTTGTTATTTACATAATATTTTTAAGGAATCCTTATGAAAATAATAATTTTATAATTAAATAAATGGTTAAGCAAATAATTATTGTTAGTGTAAAAATAAAAATAAAAATAATTKCTATTATTAAACAATATTTGATACACTTAGGTTAAAGATTGTAACTAATAACCATTACAATAATTAAATTGATTTTTAGTAGTAAATATAGACAGGAAAGCTCTTGATAAAATAAAATAAATATATTATTAATAATAATAATTTAAAAAAAAAAATCATTGTTTGGGCTAATTAATTTTTATATATAGATAATTTTAATTTTTTGTAAATTAATAACAAAAAATAGAGAGATTAAATTGAGTTATAGCTTATCTTATACAGATTATAGTTTCGTCTATCAACATTTAGTTTGATTTATATTAAACATGTAACTTAACAGTTAATATTTTAATCCTTTATGTTTACGCTTTATTCGTGCATATGGTCCAATATTAGGATCCATGATAAAATCATACAGCACACTTGTCCAAGAATGGTGTTGAGGTAAATTATCATAAAATTCTGGAGCAATTTTCTTGACCTAAATGCATAAAACATATCTTGTAAATTTCATAATTAAAATATTTTAATATAGGAAATTGTCAAGTAAAAATATATGACATTTGTGGTAGGTACTTTGCATTAAAAAAATGATGTTATAGAAAAAAMTAAATGATTTAATTTATTTTTAAATAGATTAGAATTATTAAATAATTTCAATAAAATAGGAATAGAATTAAGGGCTTAAAATATTAAATATTACATACATTACTAAAAAATATAAAACAAAAATAAATTTAATTTAAATGAAAAGTCTAATTGATTAAAAATGTACAATAATACTGAATACCACTACACTGTTTATATATCTTTAAGTTTGAGTTATTAAAAATTGCTTTCAAAAAGTTAAACTATCCTTAAAATTTAAACTCACTAGTGGAAGTTTAGAACCAGGAACAAACGGAAAATCATGATGTTCATTATGATAGCCAACATTAAATGTTATAAAATTTAATGGACCATAATAAGAGTAAGTTTCATATCCTTTATGAAACATATAATGCTCAGAAATAAAATGACCTGCTACTGGATGAAGACCCATCGCCATCAATGAACCAGCTAACATATATGTTATTACTTTTGTACCTTTAAAAAATTGGTTTATACAAGGTTATCAACTACTTAATCATTTTTTATAAATTTTAAATTACATTTATACATGATTAACTTACCAAAATATAAATATACCCAATAATTAAATGCCAACTGAATAGTAACACTTATGATTTCAAGTGCTGTAGGATTTTTTGGATATACAAACATAGGTCTTAAAGCATAGAAAAATGGCTGTAATAATACCCAGATAAATTTTCCAAATGTTGAATTAAATAATTTTGCTTCGACGTATGTAGGTATATCTGTATCAAGTTTCTCATCTCCTTGGTACTGTATATATAATAATAAAATTATGTAAATTATGTTGGTTCAATAAATRAATAGAACAAAATAAACGAAACTCAATGCTTAATTAAAAGAATTTAAACATTTTTTGGAATAAACTTCTTTTTTTTCAATCTAACAAAGAACAGTAAAGTGTAGTTTTGCTTTAAACACTGATATTAAAAAATGTATTTATACTGTTTTAAGATAGTGATAGTATGAAATATATAACAACTATAATTAACTATGAATAATTTACTGGTGAATTAAATTATTTACCCGATGATGTTCTAGATGATAGTGTTTAAAAGTGACAGAGAATGGAAGACCAATGGGTAAGTTAGCAAACATACCCAGTAATTTATTGTACATTGGATATTTTGGTCCAAATCCCATATTATGGGCAATTTCGTGGATTGCTAAAAATATATATTAAAAAAAAAATAATCAATATAACATAAATATAAAGTAATTAAATAAACAGCAAACAATTAAAGTTATTAAATATTATTTTACCAAGCATCAATGAATGATTTACAACACCTCCAAAACAATAGGCTAAAATCATAACAGTTGGCCATTTTAAATCTTTAATCAAATAAAGAGACCCCAACTGTAATACTGTAGTAACTACAACAATCCATTTAAAATTCTTATCTGGACCATAAAGTTTCTTGATTTCTGGGTGCTTTTCTGAAATAAAATATTGAAATTTATTATAAATGTAAAATTATATTACCATTTTGCTATTATAAAGTCCTGTGTTACAGATTAGATTATTTGGAATTTGTTTATCAACCTATTGAATGAAAACATAATTCAAAATATACCTAGGGTTTTAAGTAATAAATATAATTGATTTATAGAGTATACCTTTTTTTTGTGGATACAGGTATAAAAAATATATTACAATTTGTTATAATGTTAATAAGATGTATTATATATTTGAAAAGCAACATTTATAATAATCAGTTTCATTATTTAGTACTTAATCTATACATCTCRACTCAATATATAATATTATTATTATTTGTATCATATGCAATTATTATAAATAGGCTTGTCAGGCCTTATAGGTTTTATCTAACATATTTTATTTAAGTAAAATTTCATTTGATGTCTCTATGGAAATTTTTTTTCAAACAGAGGCGGCTCACAAGTAAATTCATTGGGGAGACAAAAAATGTATGATGTAGTTTATTATATTATAATCAAGTTTGTGATTTGTATATAATACCAATAATAAATAATAATAATATCATTATTACTACACAGGCCGATACAATGTTGAATAACTAAATTCAATGCTCTAACATGGACACTTTGGACACATAACTGTACAATATGCTGCAAATATCTATCATGTTTTAGGCATTTACAGAAAAATATGTGACGACCGCGATGTGAATGGCAGAAACTTTGAATGAGTCTARTCTCAATGTACTGAATAACATCTATATAATCTATCCCCRTCCTCCTCCTTGTTATGCATATGAAATTTGTATACACAATTGAGTCTCTCGAACGACAGACTCCCAAACTAGCGACCGTCATCGTTATCAATATTTTTCGCCCGTATTATTAGTGAATGACACCCATATTCTCATTATTAACGTAAAAATATTATATTATCAATATTAATATCAAAAATCATAATAATTATTTTATAAATGAATAAAAATATTAAATTATAATACAAAATTCTTTGAACATTTTTATTTTATTACTATTTTTTTTTTTTATGGGGAGTTGCCGTCTCAAGTACGCCACTGATTTAGAATTTTATTAAAAGATTAAGTTTAGGTTTTTTCATAAATCGTCTTCATACATTATAATGAGCAATGAGCATACTACAGGTAATAAACTTCAATAAATGGTTCTCTTGTATAATCTATACTATGAGTACACGACAAGAGTAAAATGAAGTGATATTACCTATAATTAAAATAGGTAGCCACATATTACTCAATAGTAAAGAAAAAAAAAGAACCTGACAAACTGCAGTTATTTCTTTGATTAGTTCTAAAGTAATGTACTATACTATGAAGAATTAAAATGTTCCAAACTAAAAACATTATGGATATTAAATACCTCTACATTTTATAAATACATCAAGAATTATAAACATTGATTATATGCCAATACTATTTATAAGAAAATAAACAGTAATATTTATTTGTTTTTAATTTTAACTGTATTAAAGATATCATAAAAGATTAATAATACTACCTAATTGTATTGAACTCTTAATCAAACTTAGACATAAATTTTTAGTTGAACTATAGCTAAAAATGATTAGTTTTAATAGCCTTGGTTAAATATTCTAAATAAAATTACATGATTTAAGGTCAATGTCAATGTTCAACAAAGATAATGCTACCAAGGATAATACATATGGAAACTGATAATTTAAATAATACATTTTATTTAATAGAACAAAATGTATGAATCAAATTAATTTTAATACATATGATTTGATAGGTATACATATTTTATTGTCATAACTAATATTATAATTTTCAAAAAATACATAATTATACCTAGTTATTAGGTATAATATGAATTTATATAATATACATATATTATATATTATATATAGGTAATGATAAACCTAGTTATCATACTGAAGGGGGTATACTGAAGTTAAGGCACTGTTAGTTATTTAAGGTTCTTTTAAATTTTAATAAAATATGTTTGAATAAATTGTACTTCATATAAGATAGAAATTTATAATATAGTATCAATCTACAGTATAAAACATGTTGATTGATGATAAAACAATGCCCATATAATATGGACAAAGGGTAAAGTGTTATAGGTAAAGGGTTATATAAAAAAAATCAGTGATTATAACTAATAAATATTAAATTTTATTTATCAGCAATTTTATACATTAACCCAACTTCTTTCTTAGGAACATAAAATATATATATTAACTCAGCAATATGTTCCAAGATAATATTATCATGTTATATAACTTGAAAATATATTAATAGGTATAAAATCTATATTATTTTACAACTATAAGCAATTGATATTTTTATGATACTATTTTAATTATCAATAATGAATATATAATATGTACAATAAAATTGTTAGAGARATTAATAATAAGACATGTCTGTTCGTTATGTTATTTACAATAGTTAAATATTAGCGAGAATATTAGTWATAATAGCAATATTTATGTCTCGCACTAAGGCATTKGCAGAAATTAAATTAAGGTATTAGTGTGTTAGACTGATTAAATRATTTATTATAATATTCAAAATAGGATACATAACATGTAAAATATAAATACACTTATAGGTGACTTATAATAGRTATGCGTAATAATCAGACAGATTTCCCATTAGGCAGTGTAAGCAGCTGCCTAAGGTAGTAAATTCTGTAATGCTTTCCTAAAATACATCATATTTATACAAATTGCATAATAATATATAATAAGTATCTATGGTTTTTTATATATATTATTTTAATTGTTATGGTATACCTATTTTAATTGATTATAATTTATAGTCCTCATAAATTTATAAAAATAATCCATGAGCCATAAATGCATTGTATAGAATATAGAAAACAGTTTTTGATAATACTAAATTTAACTCATTGAGCTTCACTGGTAAAGTCTGTGTCACCACGTTAAAAATACGCCCACAMAGCCACATTATATTACTAATTTGATAATTCTAGTAGTATTGCTGTTTTTATGAACTATCTTGTTCAATGGGTAATAATAATAAAAACCTAAGTCGGTAATAATTATTTATTATATTATTATTCATTTGTTCAGTCTGTGATCAAGATATTGTAGCGTATGTGGTGTGTCTGTGTATTATATAAATCAACAAAAAGTACCTAGATGTTCTAAATAAGTAACTAAGAAAATATTTTAAAAGCAAAATAGCAACTTTTAAAATTAAAACAGTTAAGTTAAAAAATATCATATAAAAATATTTATTGTAACAAACTATAATATAACATCTGTTTTGTATGGCTATAATTAGCTAAATAAGAAAATACTTCAAAAAGTAGGTAGGTACCTACTCTATTATCTTTATGCAATCTAAAAATATAAATTTAATAAAACAGCTCTATTTCAATTTAATTTTGTACAAATTGAACAAAATATATTTATACATAGTCATGTTCAGAAATTAACTTACCTATWTGTATAAATTCCAAAAATCAGCAAGAAAATTGTCATAATATATTTTTAATAATACATTTTTAATTTTTTTAGAGTCATATAGCATATTTTAACATAGATAAAATAGGGTTGGATTGGTTGGTAATAATATCAATTTTTTTTAAATGTGCTGTAATACCTACTAGATTTTTGAAAAAGAAAAACGTTTAGGTACCTACCAAAATTAAAGTGTGATTTTTGTAATCAAATCTAATCCAACCTACTCGCCATGTTTGTACTCTTATAAAGTGATAAATATTGGTGACACCTAATGACCACTAGGTACTACTAGTGGATGCTATTTTAGACAAGTCTAAAATRCGTCAAGATACGAACCCAAAATCTCTTTCCTACGCGTCGCGTGCGGCTCTTCCGTGGGCGACCACTCGAAATCGGTCCTGGACACTTTGGCTCCCATAATGTTCGGTTGTTCGTATAGCGGCTGTCATAGAATGAGAACGAGATCCGTCGTCATGGTCGGAGAAAACAGAAAAACCAACTCGTCGACCAGACGACACAATAAAGACCGTCCGTCGGGCGTACCTTGGAACAATTTTTTTTTATTATGCAATCAAACGGTCGCGGCGGCAAACACGAAACACCAGCGCGACTGAAATTACTAATTGACGACCAGTGAATCGCGGACGAGCGCAGTGGACTACACGACCGAACCGGCGCCGGTTGCCTATCTGCTGGTAGCGCTCGGCGGGAGCCGGCAGGCGGTGGTTATTCCAATATTTTCCAAACTGTCCGCCGGGCGCCCGTCTCCGTGAACGATCCCCTCCGAGTCACACCCGTGACGATTGTTTTTTTTTTTTTCAACAGCAAGAATATTACGAGAAATGACACTATCGTCGTCGATTATAATCGTCCCGATACGATACACATATATATATTTATATATACAAACGAGAGACAGTATGGGCGATTTCCAACCGTTTTATAGGTATTTTATAACAAAATTATTTATTTATATAAATAAACTGCGTTATTATTTTCCACGATCATAACTTGWAAAGAACCTTTATAACCATGATTATTTTTCAGCAACCTAAACTGTTGTAGAAAAACGATTATTGCTTTCAGATTATTTCGATTGCTGTCGCCCGCCGGCCGGTCGGGCTGATAATATAAGAGAAAATTGCATTATCGATCGTTACTCGTTTCTCCGCTGGGCGACGACCGTGGTCCAGTCGCCAGCCTCCGCCGAGATTCTTCCTTTTCATTATCAGCTTTATATGGCTATTACCATAATCATATATATATATAGCCGTTTATAATTAACGCTGGGTTATTGACTTCTAATCTTTCACCCGTTGCAGACGATCATATTGTTTTTTTTTACAAATTAATAGTCTTACTGTTGCTATAATATTATTAATTTTCTTGCCTATTAATTATTACTATAGTATTATCTATTATCATTTATCGGACTAGGTTACTGTAATGGAAATTTCACATTCATGCATGATAGATACATTTAAATTAAAATACGCTCACCTAATATTTATAATTTATCATGTTTAAATATTGTTATTTTTGTTCGATTATAAATACCCATTACCTACCCTTTTCGTTCATTTCTAAATTGTTTTTCAAACAATAATACCTAGTTTCCGAGTAAACAAATAATTCTAAATTCTATAATAATTAAAATAATAATTTATTATAAGTATAGAGAATTTCATTAAAATGCATTTGTGTTTTAGATTTTATGTTAAGAGTATCTGGACATAGGTATACTTATGAGGAATTTCGATTTTAAGTTTTCAATCCTTATAATAAGCTATGAAAATAAAATATTTTGAAAATGTTAAATAATCTTCAAAATGATTTCAAATTTTCGTGACTGATTAATTTTGACAATATTTTCACTTAAAATGCTTAAAAAAATTCTAATGACTATAAATTGCTTTAAAACTAAAAAGTGCTATTATAAACATTTTGAGTGTATATAATAATAATCGCAAATATCAAATTTTTTTTATAAATAAAATAAATAATGCCTGTAATGGTTATAATTTTAATATGATTAAAACTTATAACTATTTTCTCAGTATCACTACATGTTTCAATGTTTTTAATGTTATTATTTTCATTAATCATTAATCATATATAATTAATAATTATTAGGTAAGTACTTATTTATTATATTTTTATTCATTCATAAAATTACTGCTGAAAATTAATAATATTTGATATGACCAATATATATATAAATAATTCTAATAATGAATTAGATTATTTTAATTTTTCTGTGGACCATTATAGGTAAAAATACATAAAATGAATTTAATRATCAAAGTATTTTCATATTTATTATTATATTATTTTAAATATTCAAACTTTGAAGTGTAAAAGATATGGTATGAAGAATAGATCGAATAACGAAAATACGAGATATATAAATTGCGAGCTGGCGTCAACTGAACCAGTTGTCCTTGGCATATTTTTTTAGGGAGTCAGGTTAAATTTCGGTATTTTACAAAGTTCAAAATTTAGGGTTTGGTTTAAACCGGTATTTTTTTTTTTCTAGACGCATTTGTAAACTACTGAGAATCTCTTATTTTTGATCACACTATATAGATCAACTTGATCTACTGCCCTATCAGAAAAGATGCTGAAGTAGAAAAATTTAGCATTTTTCTTGTCCCAAAATTTGATGTATTTTCTGTATGCCTATTGCCTATACTATAATTATATATATATAGACCAGCGGTTCTTAACCTGTAGACCGCGGCCCCCTGCAGGGTGTTCGTGATACTTATGTCGGGTATCCGCGGCAACCCTAACATAAGTCAATACGTGATATGA